AAAATTGATTCACTTTAGTATATTGTGCAAAATCTAAAAATGCACTGATCCATTAAATTTAAATTATAAAAACACATATTAGGTCATAGCGTGTATTTACAACATAAAAATATAAGAAATGTTATTTTAAAATGATATTTGGCTAATACTTACCCTATACTAAAATCGCCTCGATATTCATATGTGATTCGTTAAATATTCGAATTGTTAAACAAATACAAATACAGATCGAAATTAATATTCGTTTCATATTCGAATTCGTATTCGAAAAAATTAAACAAATACAAATACAAGATCTCACTATTTGACTCGATTTGGTTCGTTTACTACCCTAGTTGTAATCGTTCTAAGTCCGTTTAATAGAATTTGGTGCATTTTACCTTTTATTTATTGTATTGATTGATTGTACTTCTATCATTTATTGTTTGGTAGTCATACACTAAATACATTTAAAATACTCTCCATATAAATGATCATTCGGAACTCTGGAGGAATGTGTTGGACCTTTGGAGCGTGAGGAGTTAACCCAACCCATAGTATTAATTTATTTAAATGAAAAGATCTATGATTAGTAAGGTTATTTTCAAAATAGTACTATTAATGCATTTATAGAAAAAATGTAATTGCCGCCTAGGGTTCTTCTAGGGATGTTTCCGGTGTTAACCGCCCGGGTGTAGCACCGAGTTTTGGATTTTGTGTCTGCGTTGACTGATCTAGCAACGTAGATCGTCGGTGCTCTTTGGATTGGTGATAATCGGTCTGCAGCTCCGCTTCGTCGGCGGATATGGAGGTGGAAACGAGTTTCAGAAATTCGTTTGAGTTTTCTTTTTCCGGCCTGAAAGTCTTCGTGGACAAGTACAAGACGATGGCGATTGGGGCAGAGGAAGAAGAACTGGATCTAGATGAAGCTGATGTTGAGGTTGTGGCGGATGAACGGTGGGCGCGTCCCCCTCCTGAGCCGCCGCCATGGAGTGCAAGCAAATCTAGGGTTTGGAAGAAGATGGGTGAAATCTATTTTAATCCCGTTTTATTCAGTTTATGTTTTTCTATCGTTTTGCATGTTGTTTTGGACGTGTTCTTTTTTCCTAGCAGAGATACTCTTGAGTTTAGGTTAGGTGATGAGAAGTCTGGTTTGTCAGTCATTGGCTCAGTTAAGCCCATTACAGGATCAGCGAATGTTATTGCTTTTACAGAGGTGATAGATTCTCAGTCTGGTTCGAGAGCGGACGACAACCATAAAAGACTTTTTATCATTTTATTTACTTCTTTTTCTTTGATTGTATGATCATCCATGTGACGAACGTTATTTTGATTTAATATATTCGTAGGACTATTTCATTCAAAAAAAAAGAAAAGAAAAAATGTAATTAAATAGACACTCAATAACACATAATTACTCTACATATTAAATTTTGTCACTATCCGTTAAATACTGTCGTATTACAATAGCCGATTTTTGTAATAAATTAAATCATCACTTATTAATTGGTTGCCTTCTTTCAAATTTTTGTCATTTAGTGCATGCCCAAATGGCCAAATAAACATGTGCTCTTCTTTATTTCATATTTTTTACACACTAATGCAATATTATATAAGGAAAATATTTAAAATATCAGTCAACATAGCATTTAAAATATCAGTAAATATAGACAAAGTTTAGAGAGAGGAAAAACGTATTTTATTTCCAAAACAAGTCTTATGTAGTTATGTGAAACTATAAAAATATAAAGTTAAATGGACGAATTATATTTTGTGAAGAGAACAATGACACTCATTTCTTGAGTAAATGCTATATTTACTCCTATTTAGTCATTCTTCTCTTATATACATAGTATGTAATATAAAATATATATACCCCCACATATTTAATTGCTCGCACTTATTCTTTTGTCACAAATATGTATAATTAATAACACTTTTTCTATTTCAGTAAGTGTCGTTTACAGATACATTATTATGTGCATGTACCCTTATTTTTTTCAACTATTTTTATATCATGCACTAGGTCTGATCTATCATTTCGTTCTTAAATTCCTTGATAAACTTATAATGGAAAGTAAATTAATATACATGGAATATAATATACATATATATGTTTCATTTTGTATACATTTCCCCATCAGTTCATATTTTTGTCAGACATTATTCAACCAAGTTCAATTCCACATATATAGAAGATGTCGGTGTTGAAAGAGGACAACTTTTTTAATCAAGAAGAGATAATTGAGGAATTTGAGTTGTTGACAAAGAATAGTGGAAAAGTACAAGAGGATATTCTAAGGAAGATTCTTGAAGAGAACAAGGAGACTGAATATCTATGGCAGAAGTGTGGACTTAACGGAAGAACAGACCCTAAAAGCTTCAAGGACTGTGTTCCTCTAGTCGTTCATAAAGATTTGGAGCCTTACATTCAGAGAATTGCTAATGGCGATTCTTCTCCAATCCTCACTTCCAAACCTATTTCCGCCTTGTCAAGGAGGTATATAAATATAAATATAAATATCTTACTTGCTAGCTCCTTGTAATACATAATCCAATTTTACTTTGTTGTTGTATCATATATAATAATACACTTCTAGGACTTTTTTTTTATATTTCCATCTCACAAAACCCCGCCATGTCAATTACGTTTTAAATTGCTTTTATCTGGTTAGAGAGTTGCATTAAGGTTCTGAAACTCATGTAGAGCCTCATTTAAGGTGCTTTTATCTTTGGACAACAATTTTGGTTATCACATTCGTGTGAAATTTGTAAAATTTATAGTATCATGAAACTACTTTTGACACAAAAACATTTCCATATATTTTAAATGTTTTGTATTCAAAACTATTATTGATGAAGCTAGGTCACTGTAAAAGTCAATATGATGAAATTTTGTAGGAAAAAATGAGTGTTGTGTTTCATTTGACCTTATATCGTGATTCGTGGTTGAGCTTGAAGTCCCAATTCCAGAACAAACATGATTATTTTATCTCAATATTTAAAAATTAAGATATATATATATATATATATATATCTTAATTTTTAAATATATATATATACTATCGTATGTATATATTTAATTAATCAATTTTCAAGTTGATGAAGAATCTCTTTAAATTTTAATATAGTAGTTATGTTTTTATTTATAGTATAATGAGTTTAATTTGGTTTGTCTGTGTATGTACGGTTATAGCTCAGGGACTACTCAAGGGAAGCCAAAATATATTCCATTCACGAATGACATGTTTAATTCTTCACTGTTTGTGTTCAGGACTTCACTTGCTTATAGGAACAGGTATATTATATACTACGTATATGATAAATGTAATGAAATAATTCTTAATATATAATCCTAAATAGATAGCAGACAAAAGTGTGATTTAGTAATTTTTAGTTACTACGTTAGTTACTATATTAGTTTACCTCACGACGATTTTATAACAGAGTACTAAGTGTCAGAATATGGTGCCTAATCCTAATGTACTTTTATTGTTGAGAACCCCATATTATAGAGTTTGGTACTCCGAGTGTGTGTCCATGTGGGGAGAGTTCAAATAAAAAGCGGTGCTCCCGTGCAAAGTACGAACAATTTCACTTTTTCCTCACCGTGTTGCACTATTTCATATTTCTATTGCACTTTTTCGCAGTGGCAGAACACCTCGGGTTACTTACAAAATTGCCACTGCGTTCTTGATCAAATTTAGTGCATTTTTGGACCATTCTGAGCCATTAGATCTGAAAATGAATGCACAAGATTAATTCTCACTTTGCATGGGAAGACCTCTTTGTATTTGAACCCTCCCCTATATATATATATATATATATATATATATATATATATATATATATATATATATATATGGTTTGAATTAACCCGTAAGAGTTCATTTGGTTCTTTCTTTCATACCTCAACTTGTTTAGCCCAATTCACGATGAGAGAATATTAAAGTGTTTGTCCCATATCAGCTAATATAAGATACGGAGTAACAAACAACATATAAGATCTTGGATTATTCCCGCTATTAAAATAATAAATGTATCACATTTTTCATACATCCTAAAATATCTCATTTTTCACAAAAATAATTGAACAATTGATATTCTATTTTACTTCAAAAGAATAAGATAAACTATAGTATATCCGTCTTAGTACACTCATGCACTTTGCAACCCCAACGATGAAAATCAATAAAGAAAAAAAGGGGTCAAATAAGTCCTTCTACTATTGGAAATAGTAGAAGGGTTTAATACCTTATTTTTCAGTTCAAATTCTAATCAAGATTGTTTAAATTCATAACCTTAATCAATTCTATATCTTTCTCTTAATATATGTGTAAGCAAATAATAAATTAGTTTAATCATATAATAAAAGTAATATAATGATTAAAAAGTTGGCCGGACATGTAATTATCTGGTCATTACAATAGAACTAGTTTGTACACCACTCATGGTGACCTCTTTGAATTGCTAGGCTAATTAATCACAAAATGTTTTTGGCTAATAGATTGAGAATGACACAACTCTATGTATGTAGGGAATTTCCTATTGAAAATGGGAAAGTATTACAGTTCCTATATAGCAGCAAGGAGTTACAGAGGAGTAAAGGCGGTTTGGCAGTTGGTCCAGTATCAACTCATGTTGTCAACAACCCAAAATATATGGAAACATTGAAGTCAATGAACACTCCATGTTGCAGCCCTAGTGAAGTGATATTCAGCCCAGACATCCAACAGTCATTATATTGTCACCTTCTTTGTGGTCTCATATTTCGTGACGAAATCCAATTCGTCTCATCCGTGTTTGCTCACGCTTTAATTCTCGCTTTCCGAACATTTGAGCAGGTATGGGAAGAACTCTGCTCTGATATTCGGAGCGGGGTTCTCTCCAGCCGGATCACTATTCCCGCCCTTCGGTGCGCGATGGCATCGAAAGTTCTCATCAAGCCTAATGCTGAGTTGGCGGGCCAAATCCATGCAAAGTGCGAACGATTGACAGAAAATGATTGGTATGGAGTGATTCCTGAACTGTTTCCTCATGCAAAGTATATCCATTCGGTGATGACTGGGAGTATGCAGCTTTACGTGAAGAAGTTGAGGCAGTATGCAGGAGAGCTGCCTTTGGTGTGTTCAGATTATGGAGCTTCGGAAGGATGGGTCGGGTTGAATGTGAACCCGAGATCACTACCAGAAATGGCGATATTCACCGTTCTCCCTAATGTAGCTTATTTTGAATTTATACCTTTGATGAACAGTGAAGATATGGAACCAAGTGCAGTGGATTTGACCCAAGTCAAAGATGGAGAGCAGTACGAAGTTGTTATCACAAACGGCCTAGGTCGGTATACCTCTTTTTCCCTATCTCGAATCACATAGTATATTAATTAATAATTTGCTTCTATATGTTTCTTTTTATTACTCAAATTTGAAAGTAAAACATACTCTCTCTGACCTCTCTTCCATGGTTTCCTTTTTTGACATGGTTTCCTTTTTTGAGATATGGCAAAATTTTCTTGTATTTTTCCTAAATTTATTACTCAAATTAAATTATGGACAAATATACAATCATGGCCACTAATGCGTAAAATGGAACATAATCATAATCACTAAATAATACTAGCATGGTCATTTTATATAAAAGTCACATGTTTATGCATTATCTTTATTTTAGTGGTCATTATTTCAATTTTCCCCACCTCCTTTTTTTAATATTTACATACGAAGTACTTCCTACATAATAAGGTGAATAGTATAATAAGAAAAAGAATCTAACTCAATTAAAAGAAATTAATCAAAATAGGAGTAAAAGATGGATGAAGTACGTTCACTAATACATCCCATGATATTTTAAACAAAAAATCTATTGGTACACAATTTTCATACACACACCTACACACTCATGTTTGTGAAGAGTATTTTTTTGTCTATATACAGACATAACGTATTTGAAAATGTGTTATGTCTGTATACAGACAAAAAAATACTCCTCACAAACATGAGTGTGTAGGTGTGCGTATGAAAATGTGTACCTCTAGCTGGATTGTATTTTAAAAGTGATGGAATGAGTCCCATGTTGGATAAGTAAACACGTGTAAAAGAAAAATGGTAAGTTATGTCCTGTATGTAACCTATGCACGTACCCAATTTTAATTATACAACTTTACGCACTTGTAGATTTAACCCAATAACTTATAAACTTATCTATGTTAAGTACTTTTACATCAAAATGTACTATTTCCTGTGTAAATGTTGATGTGGGTGATGACCCTTTTGACTTGTTTGTATCGAAAAAAGTGTTTTGCGAGTGGAAAAGTTAAATATTCCATTACTAATAGTGGACAATCAAGCACACTCAAAAGTTGTGAGACTAAAAAAGTAAATCACCCAAGTTGCTTCACACATAATCGGAGAATTTTATCTTTTAAAAATTAAATGCATACACATGTGATATGCATGCATGCAGGATTGTATCGGTATCGTTTAGGAGACATTGTGGAGGTGAGAGGCTTCCACAATTCTTCAACCCCACAACTCAGATTTGTTCGTAGGAAAAACCTTCTGCTAAATATCGACATAGACAAGAACACAGAAGAGGATGTTCAGCTCTCTGTGGAGACGGCTGCAAAAATTTTAAGCGACTCATCATCCAACCTTGAACTGCTAGACTTCACAAGCCATGTCAATACATCAACATATCCTGGCCATTACGTTGTTTTCTGGGAAGTCAACGGGGAAGAAAGCGATCATCTCCATCATCATCATCAAGTGTTGCAGGAATGCTGCAACTGCTTAGACAGTTCGTTCCTGGACTTGGGTTACATGACTTCTCGGAAGGCAAGAACCATTGGTCCATTAGAGCTTAAGATTGTGAGGAGAGGGACTTTCAACAAGATTCTTAATCACTATGTTGGTTTAGGCACTGCTGCTACACAATTCAAAAGTCCCAGGTTTGTTGGAGATACTAATGGTGCAGTTTTGGAGATACTAATGAACAATGTGGTCATAACCTACTCGAGTACTGCATATCCTTAGAAGTTCAGTAATTTGTCATAGCATTGTTTGTTGGTTTAAATTCTATGAAAATTACAAATACCCGTAGTATGTAAAAGGAGGACCAATACACGGGCTTCTAGCTACTTTTGGGTTGATGAAAACACATTGATCTAAAAAAATACTCCGAATAAGTTACTAAACTTTTCATTGAAACCCGATATTATAATCATTATTTGTTGATTTAATCTCATAATTTATGAATGCATGTGTTTGGTGTTTGGTATTAGTTCTCGTTAACTATATTTATATTACCAGATTGTATCCACAATCAATAGTTTGTCTATATTGAGAACTTTTATACTAAAATGTATCACTTTCAATAATCACAAATTATGAACATGAAAATTTTGTGGGAAATAGTATATTTATGTGGGAAAATCTTAAAAATACAATAATAACGTGACTTGCAAGAGTAAAATTATTGAATAAATTGTGGGCATGCATATGCATGCAGTGGTGAATCCACCTTGTGTTCCATGGGGTCCCAGGATCCCATGAACTTACAAAAATTACTTATACTATCTTTGTCCCTAGATTGAGAAAGTGAGAATTGTATGATGAAGAGCTGTGCAGATGAGAGTAAAATATGTAAGAATGTGTAAGAAATGTTGTGAACCACAAATTCTTTATCTTGAAGCGATTTGAAAAAATGACTTCATGTTGGCTCTTCGTGAATGGGCCATGGTCTAGAAACGACTTACACCGAATTCCTAAATTCTGGCTATTTTCCATAAATTAATTGCATTTTAGAAACCCTGCCCTCGTCTAACATGTTTGAGAACACATTGGTATATAGTAAGTAGTATTAAACTCATCCTCCTTCCCCAATGAAAAATGCCGTATTTTCGGAGGTATGTAATCATACTCTATTTCATTGTATATTTGGATAATAGAGCAATTCCAATGAACGAGACCAATAATACTCTATGTTTTAAAACCCGACCCGGCCCGCCCGGAAACCGTCCACCCGCCCATAAATGCGGGCCGGTCATTGAACAACCCGTAAAAGCCATAGAAACCGGAAAAACCCAATAACCTGGTAGCACCCGTGTTGGACCCAGACCCGGGAAAACCCAACCAGACCAATGAAAGACGGAAATTCAATGTTGAAATTAAAAATTTCCCGAAAGGGAATCGATCTGAGGTCAACCACTTGACATTTCGACATCAGCTCCAAGGCAACTGCTCCACATTGTTGTGATATTATGTACATATGGCTTCCTTATAGCAATTGTACCAAGATGGAATTTATTGCAAAAGGTTATTTATTGCTTCGTACCTACTAGCTACAACATTGCATGTTATGGCTATCATTTTACATCCCTATTATTTAAATAATTACAAGTGAAACATACTCATAAACACTTTTGAGATTTTATAAAAGCGTAGTTTTGTTTAGTTGTTCATGTTTACAAAGTATATATTAACATTATTTCTTTATTATGAAGACTAATTGGGTTTTAATTTAATATTATTATATGTTAAGTACTACTAGTATAAAATTTTAGAAATGTTGACCGGGTTTTCCAGGCGTTGACTGGGTTGACCCACCGGGTCCGGGTTGACCCACCGGGTCCGGGTTGACCCGTGACCCAGTCACTCGACCGGGTCGCTCACCGGTCCGGTTTTTACAACATAGATAATACTACCCTCATTAGCCATTTCTAAATAGTACTTCGTATAGATTATAAATATATACTAAAAGAAAAAAAGTATTGAGTGTAGAGAATAAACTTGCGCGAATGATATATTTTTGGAATGAAAGTCTAACGAGTCAAATATTCAGGTTGAGAACGTAGTTGCCAAAAAATCATGTACGTCGTATTCTGAATATTATATTCCGACTGATTTTTTTGGAATAAAAGTTTATTATTTGTTATGACATATTTTTTTGAGAAAATTCCCTAAATAGGAGTAAAAATGTTTTGAAATTCCAAAATAAGAGTATCATGTTTTTTATTCTCTAAGGAGGAATAAATTTCTGCCAAATTTGGTATTACAAGGCTTTTAACATGACATTTTTTTTCCAAACTTGGCAGATTACTCCTATTCAGGGAATAAAAAACATGATACTCATATTTTGGAATTTCAAAACGTTTTTGCTCCTATTTAGGACAATTTGTATATTTTTTTCCCATTCGGAATGCTTTATTCTGAGCGTCTTTTTACTTTAATTTTATTATTCATTTAGAATGCTGCATTCCGAGGGCGAGCAACATTATTTTTGCTCCATTCTACCCTAAAAGGCTAAAAGTAACTCCCATCTTTTTGCATGGGAGTTTCAAAATTCCGTATTCTTATCATCTCCTCTTACATTTATATATGCAATGAATATTGTTCGAAATAATTTCCAATGTACGATTAAATCAAATGTGACTTTTGATATGCAATGTCCATGTTAAGGATCATAGTGACTTCTACAATCAAATGAATATGATTTCTACATTAACTATGACTGACAAATAGTTTTTTTAAGGCTACAATCAATCAAAGTGATTTTGGTAAGGTGACACTTTTTGTATCGAGTATGGCACAACCAAGCCGATAAGGTGTCACAACATTTTTTTTTTTCAATTTTTGTAGACAGGCATTTATTTCACTTTGTTTTTAGTCATACTTGTATATTATCATTCTCCTCGGGAGGCTAGTTTTTTTTTTTTAATATTCGACATTATGTTAAAACTTTTTTTTAACATTTTACTCAAATATCTTTACCAAACATTTCAACTTTTACTTTTGTATTGAAATCATTTCTATTTATAAACATTAATTAGTATATTTTACCACTACTAAAGATTTCTCATATAAAATCAAACACATAGCACTAAAGTACGCCATTTTTAAAAGTTAAGAGTTCACAACTTCACATCATTAATAATTGCTTTTCCATATTTATTAACTGACATTTTTAGAAAGAATTTCAATTTGTAATAAACTAGTTTCATCATAAAATTAATTTATTGAATTGAAACCATAGTATATGGTGAGTTGGTGACCGAGTGAACGCGAACTCTGAACCCAATGCAAAAGTGTGCCTACATTATATTCACTTTCTTGATCATGGCGTATTAACTTTTTAATATAAAAAATGAAATGTTAAAGTATTCGTTCCACATTTAGAAAGTTTTTTTGACACCATCCGCACAGAAAGTTATGAGAGTATAAGACTTTGGTTACCTCTCTAATGTCACATATAAGGTCATTACAAAGATCCTAGCATCTCGTTTAGGTCCAGTCCTTCCTACTATTGTCCATCCTTCACAGGGAGCTTTTGTTGATGGGAGAATGATGTCAGACAACATCTTTCTTGCACAAGAGTTAGTGAAAGGATATACTAGGAAAAGGGCTTCACCTAGATGTATGATAAAGGTGGATCTTAGGAAAGCCTATGATACCATATCGTGGGAGTTTTTGGAAAAAGTACTTAGAGACATAGGTATCCCAACAATTTTTGTCCATTGGGTTATGGAGTGTGTCACAACCTCATCTTTTTAAATTTCCATTAACGGGGTACTCCATGGATGGTTTAAAGGGAAGAGGGGGTTAAGACAAGGGGATCCTATGTCACCTATGCTTTTTGTGTTAAGTTTGGAATACTTCTCTCGGATGTTAGATCGTAGGACCTCAATCCCTGCTTTTAACTATCATCCTTTGTGTTCCCAACTAAAGATTACACATATTGCCTATGCGGATGATCTTGTTTTGTTCTCAAAAGGGAACTATAATTCTATAAAGGTCTTGGCCGAGGCATTGGAGGACTTTGGCATGGTATCCGGACTCATGGTTAACCATGACAAGTCTAACATTTTCTTGGGAGGAAATGTGGTCAATGCATTGCCTAGAATTCTTGAATTAGTAGATTTTCAACAAGGATCGTTTCCGGTAAGGTATTTGGGCATTCCATTGGCACCATTAAAAATCTCGGTGGCCCAATTCTCTCCTTTGATTGATACGGTCACTGATTATATTAATGCATGGAATACTAAAACTTTGTCTTATGCGGGTAAACTTGAGTTGATTAGGGCTGTCATGCAAGGGGTTCAGTCTTTTTGGTTGGGGATTTTCCCGGTCCCTAGAACTATACTTGATAGAATAGTTGGCTTATGTCGTATTTTCCTTTGGGGGGGGAAATTTGCAAAGGTTGCTTGGGAAGATGTATGTCTCCCCAAAGAGGAAGGGGGTCTTGGCCTAAAGAATGCTAGAGTGTGGAATGATGCACTCCTCTCTAGGACCCTATGGAATATCCATAAAAAACAAGATACACTTTGGGTAAAATGGGTTCATGGAGTCTACCTCCATGGGAGGGATGTGTGGACTTTTGTTCCACACAATAGGGACTCCCGATTGATGAAGAGATTAGTCTCGATCCGTGACTCTATTGTCTCAAAGTTCCATTCTATGAACTTGGTTTTAGACTTTTTGGAGAAAAATTCCTTCAATGGGAAGTTATCAGCGGCCAAGGTGTATGATCTACTTAGAATTAGAGCCATGCCAAAGATATGGATGTCGTTTATTTGGAGACCATATATCCCTCCCAAATTCTCATTTATTATGTGGCTAGCCTTGAGAAATAGGCTACCTACCTATGATAATTTGGGTTTTCTTGATGTGATTAAACTGTGTCCTTTTTGCAAGGGTGGTACGGAAACGGTTCCACACCTATTTTTTTGTTGTAATATTACAGGACAGGTATGGAAAAGAGTGAGACATTGGCTTGGGCTAACAAGAGAAATGACTACACTAAAGAGTGCAATAAAATGGATTAAGGAGGAACACAATGGAGCAAACATAAAGGCTAAAGCTATTAGGATCTCCTTATGCTATACGGTCTATTGGACATGGAGGACAAGAAATGCAATTTGTTTTGATGGGGCAGCCCCCAAGGTGGAAGAAATGTTTTTGCACATAAAGTATATGGTGTATAAATTGCTTTATATCATGTATCCGGTGCATATGATCAACTTTTGATACATTTGGGATTGTGTTTTCACCCACTTTTTGTCACAGCTAGATGGCTGATTTTTGGGGTGGATAGGGGGCTTTGATGGCTGCCTATCAAGTGTAGATGGTTACGGCATCCTTACTTTGGATTGCTTGCAATTTTGCTATGATGTACATAAACACTTTTTGATAAATATATTTACATTTCATCAA